TAAGGAGGTTGGTTAACATTCTTGAGGTATCCTGAAGGAGATATTTTACAAAAAATTCAAAAGTGTAATCATAAAATTTCAGTTTGGAGAAAGTCGCAAATTATCGAGATTTACTGATTGCTGCTTGCGGTCCATGGTTCAAAGGTCCAATTGCCGTTGGGACATCAATTTCTTCATTGGATTCATGGTCTTGTTTAATATCTGCGTCTTTAACTGCAATTCTGGAGTTGGCATCCTTTCACAAGTTATTGGTTAATTTTTTTTTTGAAACAACAATTTATTAAAATTAAACTGTGTATGGCCAATATATAAGTAATTTTCTACTTACTGGCAATGAAACGAAATAAAACATATATTTTATTATCTCCAAAGTACAATTTATATATGAATTTATTTATCCTAAAAGCATCCAAGTTTGGTATTATTAGTTTTGCAGATACATGATATTTATCAGATCCGTATAAAGCTTAACTGATGGAACTTCAATCACATAACATTCCAAAAAACAAATTCTGATAGTAACTTCTTCAAATCATGCAAAAACTATTACACTTTACAAAGTATATTGAGAGTGTGTATTGTTTAGATCAATCAGTCATCACATAAACAAATGGAACAGTTATCCACAAGAAACTAATGAAAGTATTTGAAGATAATTTGGCAATATCAAATCAACCATATTCCTCTAATATTTCGAGAAAAAATAAGAAATGTATTTCAAGTATATATGTCCAGGTGACAATTTAGCTGATTTGTTCACAAAAACTTCCCATTACAATATTCCGAAAACACATTCATAACATTACAATATGTCATACGTGTGATATTTAAGGGTAATTCTATATCCATCAATAATTTTTAGGGATGGATTTTATCAAATGTACTATTTTTATTTTGTTATGTTTTTATCTGAGTGGATTTTTTATAATAAATTTTTTAAGGAGATAATACATAATACAAAATATCAATTAAAAAGATAATTCTTATCTCGTATTTGTCTTTTTCTTATTTAACGGTTCACTTTACTGACTTTTTTCACTATGAATAACTCTCATATCTTTATTTGTAACTCATGAGAAAAATAAGAAAGAAAATGTCACTACATCTCTCTCATAAATTATTCTTCTCCTCAAAATAAAATAACATATACTCTCTATTTTAGAGAGTGTCTTTTCAAACTTTTACTGCATATCAAAAATCTTTTAAAAACTCTAATTTGTCATATTTTCACACACTAAATATTTTGTTTGTTCTAATTAATACACTAATATAATATGGATAAAACTGAAGTTTATTTAAAATTTTGCATTTAAAATATAATTAATACGACAATTTTTGGGTAAACAAAAAAAAACTTTATCAACAGAAGGAATAGTTTTAATACTATTAAATGAAAATACACTCTTACTTTTTTAAAAAATTTCCTCACCTAATAATATACAACAATTATGGAGGCATCTCCTCTAGAGCCCCTAAATGTCAAAAGGCAATCTCTCATAGACACCCAGATAAATATAAAGATAAACATTTATTTGAAAAATCGGAAATGGCTGAAATGACATAAAAACCGTGAAACAGTTGAAGTATTTACAAGTTTTACCAGGGTATAACCCACCCGCCCCGACCCGACCCGGATTTATGGTCAATCCAATTAAACCAAATCGTCTAACCGTTTAACCAATCCGACGAAACCAAACCAATCCCTCAAAACCAGATCCAGCCCTCGAAACCGAACCAATCCATCGAAAACCAAACCAAATCTGTCGGTTTTTAATAACTCACTCAATTTTCTTTACTCGATTTTCTCATTTCATTTCTATTCTCAAATTGGCTCCGAGCAAACCCTAATTTTGTTTCGTTCCTCCCCTAAAATCAACCGTGAGAACGAGGAGAGGAGAATTCGGGGGATTCAATCGAGTGTGATGGTGGTCGAAACGAGACGAGGAGGTAAGAGGAAGGATAATCCAACGAAGGAAGAGTCTCGCAAAGTGAAGTTTGCAAAGACGACGGCGGAGGGCTCCGTTAATATCGAGAAGACGACGACAGAGGGCTCTGATAATATCGAGAAGACAACGACGGAGAATGTTGACTCGACGACAAAGATAACAGAGACTGTTGAATCAACGGTACAGACGAGGGAGACGAGTAAGGTTTCGACGGAAAATGATAATGAGAATGACGTTTCTGAAGAAGGAAATGGAGGTGGAGAAGAAAATGATGATGAGAATGAAGTTTCTGAAGAAGAAAATGGAGGTAGAGAAGAAAATGATGATGAGAATGAAGTTTCTGAAGAAGGAAACGGAGGTGGAGAAGAAAATGATGATGATAATGCAGGTTCTGTTGAAGTAAATGGAGGCGGAGAAGGAAAGGATGATAAGAATGAAGATTCTAAAGATGAAGGTTCTGAAGAAGAAGAAGAAAAGGATGATGATAATGAAGGTTTTGAAGAAGAAAATGAAGTAGGAGAAGAGTTAGCAAATGGAGATAGAGCAGCAAATGAGAATGAGAATCCACCAGAACCCGAGGTAAGAAAATATCACTTCGGTATACTAGAGGAAGTTGGATATAACTTGGATATAACTTGGATAACTTGTAGCAAAATTGGTTATAACCTGAAGCAAAATTGGATACAAGTTTAGTATAACTTGGATATAACTTCGGTATAACTAATTTAAAACTTTGGTATAACTAATTTAAAATTTTGGTATAACTTGCAGGGTTTGAATGGAAATGTGGGACTCAATGTAATCAAACCAACGAGGATGTTCTTCAAGCGCAGTGAATACAACAAAAAAAATAAAGCTTGGCACAAGGTGTATGATAGCTAGCACGATTAAGACGCTAAAAAATCTGAAACCCAAGCTGTCTAACGCGGAGTGGAGCTGGTTCACGGAGCTTCCCCAATTCAAACACATTTTCCACATGAAGAGTGAGAAAAACCATAGGGTTCAGGGAATGTGGATGTTGTTGCTGCGTACTGCTGATATCGAGAGGGAGAGAGAGAGGTGGTTTATTGTGAATGGGGTTTCCATCCGTTACGGGCTAAGGGAACATGGTTTGATATCTGGGCTATTCTGCCACAACTATCCTCTCGGCTACAAAGAGCTTGGTGGGACGAGGTTCGTTGATCGTCATTTCAAGGAAGGAGAACCTAGAAGGTTAGAGGATGTTAAGAAGAAGCTGGTGAACATGGNGGTTTATTGTGAATGGGGTTTCCATCCGTTACGGGCTAAGGGAACATGGTTTGATATCTGGGCTATTCTGCCACAACTATCCTCTCGGCTACAAAGAGCTTGGTGGGACGAGGTTCGTTGATCGTCATTTCAAGGAAGGAGAACCTAGAAGGTTAGAGGATGTTAAGAAGAAGCTGGTGAACATGGGACCCCACAAAGACAGGCTGAAGATTGCGGTTCTATTCTTCTTAGCTTATGTTGTTTGTGCGCAAACCAAGGTTGGACACAATGCTAATGATGTGTTGGAGGTGTTCCAGAGAGCAGTGGACGATCTTGACTACTGCAAGTCCTTTCCGTGGGGGAGATTTTCATATGATTACATGCTGAAGGAGATCTCTCACACAATGGAGCATTTTGGAGGGGTGGTGAAAGAGAAAACATTATGGCCGCTTCCAGGATTTTGTGTTCCACTAGAGGTATGCAAAATCCCATTAAACCAGTCAGTCGCTATTGTTGTCAACTGATGCAAAATGTTTTGTGGGTAACAGCTTCTTGCATACGAGGCAATTCCTAAGCTAGGAGTTGCGTTCAGAGAGCCTGTTGTTGGAGCTTTTCCCGACTGTCCGAGGATGTGCAAGACCTCATTCAAACGAAATGGATCGACAGGAGTGTCACTTGATGTGATAAACAAGGAATTGGGTAACACAACTGTAAGTCTTCCTGTGAAACTGTGGTAGAACTATGGTAGAACTGTGAAATTGTGGTAGAACTATGGTAGATCTATGGTAGAACTGGAAAAGTATGGTAGAACTATAGTAGAACTATGGGCGAAGCTTAAAAATTAATTATGTTTGTGGCAGGTTATTGATAGCATCATCCCCACCAAAACTCCACAAGAAGAAAGATTGTTGAATGAGATTTTAGAAGATGAAGACGACATTGATGTACCCGATTTAGCTGTGGATAGTTGGGATAAGTGTTTGGATGCAGGTGAAAAGATATTTTTCAAAGACATGTTCGAGGAAGATGTAGCTGGGCGTGCAAAACAGCCAAAACCGATTGAAGATGCAGCAGGAGATGGAGTACAGATAGGTGAGCAGTCAGTTCAACTGGGAGATGTTATGAAGTTGGTGAAAAGAACAATGAAATTGTTGAGGACAGTTGACAAGAAGGTTGACCAGTTGAATGGAAGATTGGACCCGCTAGAGGAGTTTGTCAAGGAAGCACAAGGCAAAGCAGCAGAGGTAGATGAAGCAGAATCACAAGGGAAAGGTAAAAAGCAGAAACGCAAGAAGTCTTTAGGGAAAGGAAAAAACCAGAAAAGCTAAGTGAAGTGGAGTGAAGAACCTATGGTTTTATGTTTGATGTTTTTATTTTGTAGACAAACAAAGTCTTTGGATGTTTATCTAGTTTGTGATGTGGATTTAGAACTTTAACTATGTTATGACTATGTTGTTATGACTATTTTGTTAGGTTGTTATTGCTGAACATGATATCTTCGACAGATTACAAACTTTAAAATGAACATAAGATAAGATTCAAGACTATCTAGAATTATAACATAAGTCTTCGACAGAGTACAAACTTTAAAATGAACATGAGATAAGATTCAAGACTAGCTTGAATTATAACATAAGTTTTGAAATGAAAAGAGACACTTATACAAGTCTTAACAAACAAAGACTTGTATTAACCGAAATTGGGAAATACATAGTTTTTAGCACATCCATGAACTCAATACTTAGCAATCTCTTGAGGTGGATGTAATAAGCCTCTTAAGCTTAGCAATCTCTTGAGCCATTTCATTGACCTCCATCCATAGGCGCCTCATTTCCTCCTCAACACCAAAAGTCCATGGCTGACGAAAGTGCATCCCATCGTCCTGCACAGTTTCACCCAGAGTATAACTCAGTTTCACCCAGTATGACTAAACACAGTTTCACCCAGAGTATAACACAGTTTCACCCAGTATGATTACACACAGTTTCACCCAGAGTATAACTCAGTTTCACCCAGTATGACTAAACACAGTTTCACCCAGAGTATAACACAGTTTCACCTAGTATGACTAAACACAGTTTCACCCAGAGTATAACACAGTTTCACCCAGTATGACTGACACAGTTTCTACAAAGAAGGAAATTACCTCATAATTCTTTCAGGTGAAGTACCTACTTCCAGGCAAGGTATCGAAATCGTGGCGATACTTCGGATTTGGAGACACATCCGTCTTGATTTCACCACCACATGGGCAACGGGTAGGAATTCCATATTGAGCATCGCAAATGTAACCTAACCTGTCGTAGTGTTTCTTCAGCTTCTTCATCTCTTTCTCCTCTTCGTACGGATGAGTCATGGTCAGTAAAGGGGAAGGGAAAGAGTAAAATCGTGGATGTAGAGAGAATATGAGGATAGAGAGGAAAGATAATGGATTATGAGATGTGTGTGGGAGTGGGAGTGGGAGGACGAGATGAGAGAAAAGAGTAGAGAGAGAGAGAGAGTGGTTGGCTTGGAAGTGACAAAAGTGTGTAGATAGAGCAAAGCTGACGAGACAAGAGGGAGAGTCACGAGAAAGGGAATCTAACTTTGACCAAAATAATTGAAAATTTTGGAATATTTTCGCTTTGGCGCGAAAATAAAAATTATTTTCCCCCCAAACAAATTTGCTCATAGTTTTACTGAAGTTTCAGGTGTTACCATATTTGTTCATAGTTCTATTTTTCGTGATTTCAACATTTTTTAGTTTTACGTATAATTTAAATTTGTGAATAAAGTTTTACTTTTCATTTTTCCACATTAACATGGAAGCATAACTGAGAAGTGCAATAATATTGTTAAAATCACGAGAATTATAGAGTACTACTTTGTAAGCTGCTCTTTATTAAGAAAGTGATCTTGGAAAGACTATATAATGCATAAGATAAAATGTGATATCAATGAATCATGTTAGTTAATATTTGTTATTTTGCAATAGTATTGTCGATGAATGTGATGTTGATGAATTAGTTAAGTGATTGTGGTTGGATTAGAGCGGATTATTTCATGTTGATATCTCTTAACTTAGTAACACCTTTATTAACTTAGTAACACCTTGTTTTACTAGTTTTTCGTGGTTTTCCAATACATAGTTGAGACAATACATAGTTGAGAGTTTCCAAACAGAGAAACATAAGTAAACACAGAGAATAAACCCTTAACCACTTAACTAAACATAGAGATTTTGAAAGTCTCTAACAATTTCCTCTTCTTCTTGAATCCTCTCCAAATTTTTTGTCAGTTCTGCAATGGTTTCGTTTAGCTGTTCGATCACTCTACTCTGCTCTCGGATCTCATCCCGGGCTTCAAGCAAAGCCATTTTTTTTCCATTCTGTACCATCCTCGACATCAAACCATTTGAAGTATTTGCATCCATTTTTCTCCTGCCACAAATTCCTTATAACGCGGACAACAATAATTTATTTATCAATCTCATATCACAATTTCTATCATCAGCTAGGATACCTTATAACGCGGACAGCCATAAAATCGTCGCCCAGGGTTCTTGTCTGTCCAAGCTTGTCTTATTTCAGCATCTAAGCGACAGAAACACAATTTCCTTCCAGAATTTTGCCTTCTCATAGACGATCCCGAACCATCTCCTTGCATCTCCGAAATTTTCTCCTCAGAAGTAGAAGAGTCTCGAGAGAGAGAAGAGAGAGATATGCGAAGAGAAGAGAAGAAAATGCAGTAATTATTTCATTTATTAGATTTTTAAAGAAGAAATTCGGGTATATTCAGAAAAAAGTTATACTTAGTTGCTCTTAGTTATACCAATCCGATTAAAAAGCAAAAGCAAAAGCAAAAGCAACTCTCCAAGTTTTAAAATCCCAAAAACAACACTCCAAGTTCAACATACCAAAAGCAACACTTCAAGTTCAACATACCAAAAGCAACATACCAAGTTCAACATACCAAAAGCAACATACCAAAAGCAACATACAAAAAGCAACATACCAAGTTCAACATACCAAAAGCTCTAGTTTGGTTCACTTGTCCTCATTCCAAACAACAGCCAACTAAACCCGAAATTTGTCCTCGGACGCCTTACATTTTGTGTCCTTTTACGTCGTTCTCCAACTGATGGATTCCTATTAACCTTTTTCCTTCCCTTCCTCGTTAGCTTTTTTGGAGGTATGATCTGGAGCTTTTTGATGTCATCTGGTACATTCCATTCAGACTTGTCCGGCACAGAATAAATGGTCCTGTAATAAGCCATTGCCCAAAGTTCTGTCCAGTAATACTGTGAGCTCAACTGATGATACTCTATGTGGACCTCACGTCGACGACCATGAGCAGCAGGTACCTCAACGAAATATAAGTAAGCAGCAAGTCCGTGAAGACAAGGATACTTTTCATAATCATATACCTTGCAGCTACATGTCTTCGCTATCAAGTTCACCAAATAAACCTTCCCATCGTCAATGTCGGTTACCTCGTACTCAAGATCATAACTATTCAGCTCACGAACTGGCGTTTTCTCAGCTTTGCCCCATATGTTGTGCAAATGGTTCTCAACCANCGCTATCAAGTTCACCAAATAAACCTTCCCATCGTCAATGTCGGTTACCTCGTACTCAAGATCATAACTATTCAGCTCACGAACTGGCGTTTTCTCAGCTTTGCCCCATATGTTGTGCAAATGGTTCTCAACCAGAGGAACCAGTTTGGTATCAATCGATCCAGACACGGCGTCCTTCCGATGTTCATTAAACCAGTCAAAAATCTTTTTGATTATTGTATCCAACATTGGTATCAAGGCATACCTCCTTGCGTCCCTAAACGCGCTATTCATTGACTCCACTGTTGCTAGTGTCCAAGTTGTATCTACAACCTGGAAAATAGACCCTAGCCCATGTTTCTTTGTTAGTGTTCTCCTCCACATATTTGAAGGCTGAAGGATATCTCACTTTAAAAGATGCATAAGCAGCCTCGAACTCATGCACTGTGTAATACCTAGCCAACTCCATAAATCTCCATGCCACTACGGCTTTGATGGTGTTACAAGCATGATTTCTCACATTCTGAGCTAGATGCCATATACAATGGCCATGGTGAGATTGTGGATACACATTTGCTACAGCAGTGATGAGGCTCTGATTCCTATCACTCATAAATACTATTTCAGAAGAGTCCGGTATAACAGTTTTGAGCATCTTGAAAAACCAAGTCCAACTAGCATTATTCTCACCGTCAAGTACCCCAATCGCGAGGGGATAATGGTGACGATTAGGATCTTGAGCTTTAGCAAATACTAGTACACCACCATATCCGTTCTTCAAAAACGTAGCATCCACAAGAATCACTTTCCTCATGACCTTAAACCCTTCAATGCAAGCTCCTAAAGCTATGAAAAGGTACTTGAACTTACCTGCCTCATCCAACTCCACCCTTGTTGTTGTTCCGGAATTAACCTGCTCTAACATGTACAAGTAGCTATACAACATCTTGTAGCTGTCTTCTGAATTACCACGCAACTCACGCATAGCTATATTTTTCCCTCTCAAGGCTGTGGAGTAAGATACTGAAACACCCAGTTTTAACTTTATTAAATCCATAATATCTCTCGGAAGAGGAGTCCTCAGTTTTCCAGGATATTCCTCATTCAAAAAAGTTGCAACTAATTCTGCAGAGCCTTTCCTCTTGATGTTGCAGCTATTACTTTGACTAGTCCGAGAGCATGTATGCACACCCCCATACCTCCTAATAGAAAAAATTTCCGTCTCTGGAATCCTCGCAGCTCGTAATCCCCATTTACAACTTTCATCACAACATTTTAACACCAACCGTTTACGATCAGATTTTTTAATAACATAACGAAAGCTTTCACCAAATGCAGCTTTATCCACCAACTCTTGAAGTGATCTCTTGTTTGGAAATTCCTGCAGCTTAAACAGGCCCAAACCGTCTCCCCATTCTTTTATAACTTGACTAAATTTTAGTAAAGGTGGCTGCTCAATATACGTAACTCTCATATTGGTTTCTATATTAGCACTACTATCCATCTCAGCTGCAGTCTCCGTCTCAGCTGCAGTCTCCGTCTCAACTGCAGTCTCCGTCTCAGCAATGTTGTATGTATCCATAAAATCATCATGTGTTGTATCGTCACAATTCTCTCCTTGTATCACCTCCTTCTGTTGATTTGCTTGCCCCTTTTCAACGTACAGAGTTATGGTGTTAGGTCCGACTACATCATCATTTCCCTGCAACACTTCGTGATTCATACCAAACGAACTTCCGCCCACTCTCGACAGCTTATCTAACTGATCCGAGTTACTGCCTCTACTCGTCTCCTTCACTAACAAAAGACTTCTACGGTTGTCTTTATCAATGGAAAGAAGGTAACCGAACAAATCATCATCATCACAAATTGTGNATCCAAACACCATCGGCTTGTACTTCAACGCCAGTTTTACATTCCTTTCATCTAACCTCAGCTTTTTATACAACCTTTCTTCTACCATTGCCAAAGATATAGCCTCCACTGTTGTCTTGATGGTTATACAATAGATGCGATCTCTGAATTTGAAATGTAAGCACATGTGTTTCGACATTGCATCCTGCAAAAACAACAAAATAGAGTTATAGTTATACCAGTTGCTCTTTGTTCTACATAGTTTTAATCAGTTATACTAGTTTTACCTATTTCTTTTTCAGCTACAATCAATTGAAATTGAGGTTTCGGGTACTATAAACTCAATCTCAATCCAATACATTCAACCATATGCTTGCATTGTTTCACATGAGGTAATTGCTCCACATACCAAATCTCATCTCAAAATAATCATATATATATCCAATTACAAACCCAATCGAGTAGGTAGAGGAGAGGAGAAGAGAAGAGAATAGAACCTGCATTCTGGCCTACTACTCTAAGCCTTGCTGGTGGAAATGTTTTCGTCCGGCTGCGTCCTCCTGGAGAATCTACCAACGTCTTCCAAGCTCGAGCCAAGAGGATCCGATAAATGGGGACAATGTCGATGATGAGCGGAGCTGGAGCTGGGAGCTTTCTTGATTTCTTTTTTTTTTTCATTTAATTTTATTAATTGATCGATCCAGTCCCCAATTCAATCCAATCAATTCAATTGAAATCCAATTCGATTTCAAAACCGAAAACGAGATATCCCAAACCCACCTCAACCCAAACCAGTAACCACACAAATTGCTCCATTCGATTTTGTAATTTATTTTTTTTTTTTCGCCCACGAAGGGCTTTTTTGTCTTTTCATCATTCATTAACTCCAGAGGGGCATAGGCGATTGAGGGAGCCCATAAGGGATTTTGCCTTTCACATTTAAGGGCAATGGAGCAATTGCCTCACAATTATGCCTACTATTGGCAAAAATAATGGCGTTCACTATTTGCTATAAATGTTGTCATTTTGCGATAAGTTAGCATATGGAAATGAAAGGTTAAATATATGACTTTTTCTTGGGTTCACCTCCTAGGGTGAACCTCTAGGTTCACCAAACAATAGGAATTTGTTATTTTATATTTGATATCTTTTAAAAAGGAAAAAAAAATCTTGTTAGATTATATTATTTTTTAAATAAAAATAAAAAATTAAACAAAAAGAAAATATTTACAAAAACGAAAAATATTCTTTTAAAATATATACTTTAATATTATATAATTTTTTTAAAAAAATAATAATATTAATTTTAGTGTTAAAATATTTTTTAGTGCTTTTAAGATTTATCCAAAGGATTTATGGTTTACCCAAGGGTTTAGGATTTAGGGTTTAGAATTAGGGTTTAGGTTTTAGGATTAGGATTTAGGATTTAGTGTTTTAGTGTTAAAATATATTTTTTTTAAGAATTGTTTTTCGTTTTTGTAAATATTATTATTTTTATTTCATATTGTATTTTTATTTAAAAAACATAATAGATTTTAACAAGATTTTATTTCCTTTTTTAAAAGATATCAAATATAAAATAATAGGATCCTATTGGTTGGTGAACCTCCCTAGGGGGTGAACCCAAGAATAATATATGACTTTTTCTTGGGTTCACCCCTAGGGTGAACCTCTAGGTTCACCAAACAATATGAATTTGTTATTTCATATTTGATATCTTTTAAAAAAGGAAAAAAAATCTTGTTAAATTATATTATTTTTAAAATAAAAATAAAAAATCAAACAAAAATAAAGTATTTACAAAAAACAAAAAATATTCTTTTAAAATATATACTTTAATATTATATTGTGTTTTTTAAAAAAATAATAATTTTAGTGTTAAAATACTTTTAGTGCTTTTAAGATTTATTAAAAGGATTTATGGTTTACCCAAGAGTTTAGGGTTTAGAATTAGGGTTTAGGTTTTAGGATTAGGATTTAAGATTTAGTGTTTAGTGTTAAAATACTTTTTTTAAAAGAATTGTTTTTCGGTTTTGTAAATATTTTTATTTTTATTTCATATTGTATTTTTATTTAAAAAACATAATAGATTTTAGGGGAAATTTGGAGAAATGCATTTAAATAAGAATAAAATTTGAAAACTACACTTTTATTTATTTTTTGGAAAATTACACTTATGTATATAAATTTACCTAATTACCCATTCTTAATATTTCTTAATTTCTGATATATTGTTTACAATTCGATTTAATAAAAGGGGAAAAATACAAATCGTTAGAGAATATACCAATTATCCCTTTTTACATGTCTACCCAATATCTTTCCATATCTTTTTAATAATATCTTAAATTATTTTATTATTTTGAATACAAAGTAAGTGGTATATCATCCACATGTAAGAATATAGGATTTTGTAGAGACAAAGTAAAACGTGACTTTTCTTTTAACAAGGTGACTTGTTTATATATAGGTCAGAAGAGAGTAAATAAAGGAAAATATATGTTACAACGTGACTTGTTCATGATATAGTCGTCACTTTAAAATCATAACTTACATATTTATCTTTGTTATTGTAAATTTAAAAGTTAAATTAACATGTTTATCTCAACACATATATTTATAGGATAAACATAAAAAAAATTAAAGATATTAGTTTATTGATTTGGATAATTATTGAATTTCGAATTTATATATTAATTTCGAATTTATATATTAATAACTGAAATATCTAATTAGGGTAACAAAGTAAATTCACAACTAGAGAAGTGTACTTTACAAAAATTAAAATAGAAAATGCAATTATCAAAAATCAAACTGTTTTTGGAGTAATTTACAAATTATCCCTAGATTTTAACAAGATTTTATTTCCTTTTTTAAAAAATATCAAATATAAAATAATAGGATCCTATTGGTTGGTAGGGGGTGAACCTAAAAATAACTCAATATTTTTGGTTCACCCCCTAGGGTGAACATCTAGGTTCACCAACCAATAGGAAGGTGTTATTTCATATTTGATATCTTTTTAAAAAGGAAATAAAATCTTGTTAAGTTATATTATATTTTTAAAATAAAATAGAAAAAACAAAGAAAAATTAATAATGTTGAAAAACGAAAAAAAAAATTAAAAAATATATTTAATACTAAAACACAAAACCCTAAACCCTAATCCTAAACCCTAATACTAAACCCTAAACCCTAATCCTAAATCCTAAACCCTTTGGTAAATCATAAACCCTTTGAAAAAATATTAACCTTTGGTTAAATAAATACTAACCAATTATACTGTTTTTTATTTAGTTTTATCTTTTTTATTTTCAACACATGTTTTTATTTTAAAGATATATTAAAAGATTTTTTGTTTTAAATTGTTTTTTGCAATTATGACTGTTTTTATATTATTTTTATCTTTTATTTTAAAACATAATATAATGTTAAAATATATTTTTTAAGATTTTTTTTCACTTTTTGTAAATATTATTATTATTATTTATTTTTTCTAGTTTTATTTTAAAAACATAATATAACTTGACAAGATTTTGTTTCTTTTTAAAAAAAAATATCAAATATGAAATAACGCCATCCTATTGGTTGGTGAACATAGAGGTTCACCCCTTAGGGTGAACCCAAGAATAAGTCCTCTTTAAACATCTTTTTGAAAAAAAAAAGGCTTGCTCTTTAAACAAAACATCTACAATGTGAAATTGGGGGTTTGGCAGCAGCACGTTAAACTTAGGAGAGTCATTCCATGATTAGAGTAAAAGAATCTTTGGAGAAAAAGCATCATCCTAAAGAAAAACTGTGGTCGTCTAAGCTGAACAATATTAATACATGTTACTCATTCTCTGCATGAAGGCACCCATCCCCACAAAGCAAAGCATTTCTGACTTTCGTTTCTTTTCTTGAGAGTTATAAGAAATGTACATAAAAGGGAAGAACAATATAGAAGGGGAGCATAACAGTTAGGCAAAGAAAAGGAATAACCCAATCTCAAAGTAAACTTATAAAAATCATTTTGAACTGTAGTATATAATGAAATCGCTGGGCACCCTCTTATCATCATAAACCAAAGATCCTTATTCCAAATACAAATTCGAACCAAGAAACTAAGATATGCAGAGAACATCCGATCATGCTACTGCTAATCGCACCTACGATGAATTCGATCCAATCTTTAACTGGAAAACTGAACAAGGCTTCGAAACTCTCACTATTTACCTTCCAGGTATACTAAACAAAATCTAACATAATTTATTTCTCAATGTTTTTGGTTTATTTAGGGTTCTATAAGCTGTGTAAACCGGTTCTTGAAAAAACAGGGTTTAGAAAAGAGCAACTTAAAGTGCAAGTAACCACAACGAGGAAGGTGAGAGTGATGGGAGAACGTCCAGCAGGAGCCAACAAATGGATCCGTTTCCGCAAGGAGTTTCCTATTCAAGCAAACATTGATGTTGACTCCATTGGTGCTAAATTTGAAGGCGCAAATCTTGTTGTGAAGCTCCCTAGACTAGAGCCAATTGGCAAACAAACTTCACCTGGAACAACCGCAAAACCTCCCCCAGTTTCTAAGCAAACCGAGAAGGTTCAACCACCAAAGCCAACAAAAGAAAAAGAAGCGGGAGTAGAGAAGGTTCAATTGCCAAAGCCTTCAACAGAGGAAGACACGAAACGGGCTGAGAAAGAAAAACCCCTTAAAGCTGCAGAGAAGGAAAACGTTTGTGATGGAGTTAAACAGGATTATAGAAGTAAAGTGAATGCATACAAGGAGAGTTTTGGAGGATATGTGGCTTTGATGAAAAATAACCAAAGAGAAATTACACTTGGTATGGTTGCTCCCGCGGCAGCCGTTCTGTTGCTATCGCTTGGATTCTATGCTGGTCAAATGTTTTCTTCTTAACAACATCTCCTTTGAGGAGTCCTAAAAGGCAGATAAAATGTATAACTTTGCATATAAATCATATTAATAAACGAACACAAAGGAACAATGTTGTTCAGAATAACAAGAAGTTTATGTTAGAGGTTCATTGAATAGTTTATTCAATAAATCCTTCTCCAAAAAAAAAAAAATAGAAAACAGGACCTGCAAAATGAGTGCTATTCACCAAAACAAACATAATTTGTCGTTGTTGTGTTTTCACATTTTTTGTTTTCTGCCAAATTTTTGTAAGTACAGAACAACAAGAAGTTTAAAAAGGAACAATGTTGTTCAGAATAACAAGAAGTTTATGTTAGAGGTTCATTGAATACTACTTACAAAAATTCTGTAATATTTGGTGGTTTAAAAAGGACCCGCGGACTTTTAACTCATCGCCTTCAACGGAAATTTATATCGTAAATCTTTTAACTGAACTTGATTTTTCTTTTTTGAATAAATGTTAAATTTGTATTCAGTAAAAATATTTTTTTTTACATCACGTGCAGCATGAATTTAATTTTTTTTTGTGTGGTTCTACCATAGATACATTAAGAGATTATAATTTCTTTACCCCCCAAAAACCCAGGATATCCTCGAGCTTCTTCATTCCACACTTGGTCATAAGACTGAGTTTGTTTTTACAATTTTTCCACCATTCTTTGGAGTACCTGCCAAGACATATGTGAATCTCCATGTCTTCTTTTATTTCTCTCTCTCCGCACTGCGTAAATCACCCCTTGTAAAACATATCGAAGACAAAAGAATTTCTCCTACCCATAACTCTTGCTCGTTCTAATTTTTAAATTTCTCCAAATAGATTGATTCTATTTCTCTAACCAATAATTTATGTAAAAACCAAATAAAATCTGGTATATGTAATTTACTTTATCATTTCTACTAGAGATGGACTTCTCCTTATTCTGTTTGGTGTAATGCACCGATCCCTCGCCGCCGGGGGTTCGACCGAGTGTTGTGGACACACGTCTACTCAATTTAGATCATCCAATGTATTCCGTTACTGGTTCCAGGAGTCATTGGACACATACCTTTGATCAAATACTAACCCAACCGTACCTATATACTTCTACTTACAGTCATGCGCACAGGAAAAATGGAAATGTATGCATGAGTAAATGGAATACTCAGTGAAACGGTTCTAAATCAGCCTCTCCACATAATACCCTACATTGCCTAATGCGAAACGAGAGCTGGCTAGCTACTACAATCAATCATTCAAATGCACAATTTATAACATAATAATATTTCCATACATTCTACCAACATATCGATCACACAATACAATGAACTTAGTCATTGCTACACCATAGATTTGACTCAACTGGACTACTCAACAAATTGAATCAACACCAATCTCCTCAACGTAAGGACCTACAAGATTTCTCACAGACATCCCACCTCGTGTCAGCCAATCCAAAGAGATCTTATGTTAACCACTGTCTTCCAATTTCCTAAATGACTATCCGAGTTGCAGCTCGTTGGTCCCTCTCCAGCTTTGTCTGCCACCCCAGTCTTACTAGTCATATATATGCCATGACTTGGCATGACTCAATCTTACGGCGCCCTTCACATTTTCTACCCCGCATCTCGCGGTAGGAAAATTTTCTATCCCGCATCTCGCGGTAGGTTAACTCATCAGATTAACTCATTATCATTCTCATTATGCATTCATATTCTCATTCTCATTCACATTCTCATTTTCATTCTTATTCACATTCACATTCACATTTCATTCTCATTCTCATTCACATTTTCATTTTCATTCACAGTCTCATTCTCATTAACCCGAACTTTGACCCTACACATGCACTAGACACCACCCGTTCTCGGTGTCACAAATATACTTCACATAAAAACCACACATAAAAACCACACATACATACATACATACATACATACATACATACATACATACATACATACATACATACATACATACGTACATACATGATACCAATTGTAATACCAGATATAATATCATACCAATTGTAACATAATATCAATTGTAACATACTATAGTAACCTAGATATGTACTTCTTTCTAGCAAACTAGCTTTCTCATCACACATAACAAAAATCATAACAACCAATCACACAAGAAATCATTCATAAACATTCATCTAAATCAACACAAGGCAGTCATTAAGTCCTTTAAACAGTGTGAAGGTTCTTATGCATCATGATTCGTTCATCTATCAACCTAGCTCCCATTATGAGCTAGCAACCTAACTTTCAGCCAAGGATTATCTGAACCCTAATTCCAACATCAACCATAATAGAATAAAATGAGAACAAATCTGAGTCCGAATCACCTCACCTTAGAATATATCTGAGATGTGGAGACGTGGATCTGGAGATCAGGATCTGGAAAACAAGAATTCGGATCTGAAGAAATCCAAAAACTCAAATCAACACACCTCACGACCACCACCACCACTCGTGATGGCTGCTCGGCAAGGAGAGAAAAAGCGCACGGTGAGGAGAGAGAGGAGAGAGATTCACGAGAGAGAGGAAAAGAGAGCTTGACGGCTAGGGTATATGTCTCATGGTATTTATTTGCAGAGATTCATTTCAGGTTTGTGAATGGGAAAAAAGTAAAGGGAGGCTTGCTATTTATAAGAATATGGAAGCGAACGCTCGGTTTTTCCCTAATGGGTTACAAACATGCCCATCTTCAATTAAGAAATTTTTGGGCCTGATTTTCGGATGGTACAGTTCTCCCCCGTAGTTATTCAGAATTCATCCTTGAATTCCAAAACCCCAAACTTTGAATAATAAAATCCAAAACCCGACTGAACTTCTTTTGCACATCACACACACAACATACATCAAACAAGGATAGCACACAAGACTATCACACTTTAATCAATAACTCTTTTAAAAACCAACGAATGAATTTAATAAATGAAATGGAATAGGACTACAATAGTTTTAAAAGATTAAGCCATCCGTACAAAACACATAACGCCTTTATAATGCAAAACACCAACAAAAAATAAGATAAGCATGTGTCCTACTCCTATCACGGATCTTGGCCAACTGCGACAGGACCACTAATTGGGGATTCTAGATCATTCTCTTCCACCTCAGAGCCGGTGACATCAAACACATGATCTATGCTATACTCCTCTGCGACCAACGCTTGTCCCGCCATCCTCACATGCATGGCTCTGAAATAACTCTAGGGCTTTTGTTCTGGTAATGGAGCTCTTGCGCAGACGTCCCGGATTCTTCTTTGGTGGCTCCCGACATGCGGATCCGGGACCCACTCCATCTCTGACACTGGTTTCACTTTTTTGGACGTCCTCTCCCTTGCTTGACTGGTCTCACCTTTGGCTCGGACTCGGACGATGCAGGGAGGACTGGAGCTTTTAACGCCTCTGATTTGCCACCAAATCATACTGCAGTACTTGATACTTAAGTCTCAATGATGGGTTTCCCCTGCAGAGGATCAACTTACCCCGGATGGTTCGTAACGTCTCAATGGAACACAGAGGCTCACGGCGGTCCCCACGGTTTCCACTGGTTGGGGAAGACATCCTGCAATAGATAGATCCAATCAGCACCATAATAGATGTATAGATTGGTTAGTGATTTTGAAAACATTTAACAACTTTTATGAGCAGCATAAACATTCACAAACACATTTTCAAAACTGAAAAGGTTTTTCAAAAAATTGCAGTCAAGTCAATCCCTTAGGTTAACGCTAAGGATCTTGACCTAAGTTTTGATACCAATTGTAACGTCCCGATCCCCCACTGTTCGACGGGGGTTCGACAGGGTGCTAAAGACACGCGTATACTCATTTTAGACCACCCAACGTGCCCCGTTACTGGCCCCATGAGTCATTGGACGCATACCTTCGATCAAATGCCAACCAAACCATATACATATACTTCTACTTATAGTCTTGCGAACATGGGAAATGGAAAGGAGGACATGAGTAAATGGAATACTCAGTGAAGCGGTTCTAGACAAGCCTCTCCGCATAATACTCTACACTACCTAACGCGAAACGAGAGCTGGCTAGCCACTACAATCAATCATTTAAATGCACATACTATAACATAACATCATTTCAGTAATTTTCTACCAACCAAGCGATCACGCACTACAATGAACTCAGTCATTGCTACGCCATAGATTCGACTCAACTCGACTACTCAAAAACTTGACTTAACACAAATCATCCTAGACATAAGGACCTAGAGGCTCACTCATGAACATCCCACCTCGTATCTGCCAATTCCAGGAGATCTTACATGAACCACTGTCTCCTAGCTTCCTAAATGACTATTTGATTTACATCTTGTTGGCCCCTCTCCGCCTCTGTCTGCCACCCTGATCCTAATAGTCATATTTATGCCATGATTCTCTTACGGCGTCCTTCACATTTTCTACCCCACATCTCGCATTAAGAACATTTTCTATGCCGCATCTCGCGGTATGCTTAACTCATCAAAAACATACATTCGTGATACACTTATAATACCAATTATAATATGATACCAATCGTAACATACTTTCAACTGTAACATCCACTAGTAATCTAGGGACACACTTCTTCCTAGCAACCTGGCTTTCATCATCATACATCACAAACAACATAACAATTATTCACAAAACCAATTATTCATAAACATTCATTCACATCAACACAAGACAGTTTATTAAGACCTTTAAACGCTGTGAAGGTTCTTATTCATCATGACCAATTAATCTATCAACCTAGCTCCCGTATTGAACAAGCAACCTAACTTCCAAGCAAGGTCAATCCAAACCATAATTCCAACATCAACCAGAATATAAAATAATGAGAACAATTATGGGTTTGAATCACCTCACCATACAATATATCTGAGATCTGGATAACGAGAATTTGGATCTGAAGAAATCCAAAAACTCAGATCAACACACCTCACGGCCACCACCACCACTCGCGACGGCTGCTCGGAAGAGGAGAGAAGAAGAGAACAGAAAGGAGAGAGAGAGGTGCGTGGAAGAGAGAGAGAGGAAAGAGATTCACGAGAGAGAGAGAGGAGAAAAGAGCTTGATGGCTAGGGCTTTCATCTCATGGGATTTCTCTATAAAGATTCGCTTTAGGTTTTTGAATGAGGGAAAAGACAAGGGAGACTCTATGTATATAAGAAAAGAGAAAGAAACTTTAATTTTTATCCATAATGGATCGTAGACATGCCCATCTTCCCTTAAAAAATTTTT